CGCAGCACCAGATGGAGCATGGGAGGGCAGAAAACCTCAAAACCTCCCACCTGGGTGAGGAGGGGGTGGGGTTGCATACATGTGATCTAGTAGGGCAGCCCCAAGGCTGTTCCTGATGGGGATGTCCAGTTGGAGACCCCAGGAGGTGTAAAAGTGGAAATTCTCCAGTTTCAGGGAGGTGATCTCTCCAGGAGCCAGCCCCAGGAGAAGCCCAACATTCTAAGGTGCAGATGATAAAACTGTCTACTAGGCCCTGTTTGATCTGAGAGTTCCCCGGATACATTTATCTTTGTACAAAATGTTAATGGCTAACTTCTGCTTCTTGTAATCTGCTTATTCAAGGATGTAGTAGGAGGCTTTATAAGCTGCCTCCTCTGGAAGCTCGGGGCTGATCTCCTCTAACCCTGCATGGTAGAGAGTCAGTCACTGGCCGGCTAATAAAGGCTCATAATTAATCTCAATTGTCTCTGTGGGTCTCAGAACCATTTGCGCCACAACATTTCCTGCCCCTATCACTGACTAGCTCTGAGGGCTTGCACATACTGCTTCACCATTCTGACCCTCTGTGTCATCATCAGATGTAACAGTAGTACCTATGATAATGGACATTTTGGTTTTTAGCCACTAGGCACGTTTCCCTTCCCCTCTGATAACAAAACCATAATTGCCTATTGGGGAATTACTTCCACCCACTAAGTGCAGTCTTGGCGAGACCATTAATGAAGGAGGTCTACTCGCCTCTTGCCAAAAGGTGGGCATGTTCTCTCCTGGAATTTAGGTCCTGAGTTATAGAAGGACTCAAAAGCTATTTTAGTTGAAGGTATAAGTCTCTCAGGAAGGCTGCAAGTAACAGACGACCCAACTTAGAAGGTAGGCAGCTGGTGGCATTGGTTCAGCTGCTCAGCAGTGTCTCGGCTGGTATATTTGTGATATTTTGATCTCAAAGTCACTGCAGAAGTCTTAGCATTGCATCTCGGTTCAAGGCAGGAAGAGATGAAGGGAACGCATGCCGATGGAACTTGTTTTTGTCCTTCTTATCAGCAAAGTAAAATCCCAGAAAGCTTGTGGCTATCTCCTGGTCATATCTTTTGGCTGGAAATATCTCATGGCCACCCCTAGCCGAAAGGGAGACCTGCAAAGCTAGTCTTTCATATTC